ATGTTCAAATGAGCTGTATTCCTTAGTTCCTCCAAATCTAACCTTCTCACTTAAGACCTGCTAATCATATCATCATCATCATCATGTTTCAACCTCCCTATGGTTGGAATGTCATTGGCAATCTTTTCCACACTTTTTGGTTCTGTATTGATATCCCTAATGTCCAACGCTGCGTCCTGAGCTATGGTGTCTGGGGAAAGTCAATTTTCATTAGAAGACACTTCCAGAAGGATACCATTGGAGTAAGGATGAAACGATTTCCGTGTTTGCTTGTTGGCAGTGGCAGGCAAACTGTAATTATTTTTGTTTGAGCTAATCATGTACATTGAGGTCACCCACTCTCATTTCCTTTGTATTCCATTAGTAAGCAGTAATCTCAACTTGGTTAGTTTTTTTCCAAGAACTGTTGATTTGTGAAACAGAATCACAGGAGGATGCTTTCCCAACTGCTACAATCTTAGCCTCTTCAAATTTAGGGTTAAACGTTATCCTTCCCACATATCCTCATAAATTGGGCCATTTCCCCTTACTGCTCACACAACCTCCTTCACTAATCTTCTGCGTTGAGTCACACATGGGCCTTGTATAGGATGAACATTAGTTAAAAAAAAAAAAAAACGGATTTCTTATTTGAATTTTCTAATGAAACCTAATTCTTATGTTAATGATTGAAGAAGCTCCACATGAATTCTATGACTATGAAATACCTGTGGAAATTTCTCTATTGCATTGTTAAATATTTGAGCTTAACAACTTTAACAAAATATTGCAATAACAATCATAAGAATGAATGCAGGTAATTATTTAAAGAAGAGGTTACAAATGAAAAGATTCAAAATTTCAATTTTCCATTTCACTGAACCAAGATGGTGAATACATTGCCTCCTCTAAATTACCTTTCATTATTTTCTATATCAAAGCCAAATGGCATCTTTGATATCTTTTTCTTCCTTCTTTCCTTGCAATTGAAATGGAATGGTCTATTATTTATTTCAGGTAATGGCAGGTTATAATATGTGCTAGTAGAAGAATAAACAGAATTATGATTCTCATATACATGGAATATTAACCAAAATCTACTACTGTCCATGATGCTGTCCTTTTTTCTTCATCATTTTAGTTAATTAACATTATTAAATTTATTACAAAACACTTTTGAAAGGAAGGGAAACACAGGTGCCAACTAGGGTATTTCTGTAAATTACACACACTTGATCATTTTGGTTGGATGTTGATCACAGTATAAACAGCTTTATCTTGCCAAATTCCAGTTGCATATTTGGCTCTGTGGGTAAAACAAACTGATGACTGAGATGTTTGAGTGTTAGAACTAGTGCCAGGTTGGTGACAGTAGTTATTGATGTTTCCTGTAATTTGTAATACATACAAAAATGTGGGTTTGGAGTGATTCCCCCGCCACCTCAAAATAACAAACATTTGTGTGTGCTGAACAATTTAACTAGTGTTACTAACAGATTGTTGGAACTCAAATTTTATTTCAGAACAAAAAAAAAATGTGTATGTTGGGTGGGGATTACTTTTTTTTGGTTCACAGATGTGAATAGTCTATTGGGATTGAACATTGGACTTAATTGTTCTAAATCTGACTTAATTTTCACTGCCTTATTGATAATACTGTAAACATACAATGGATCTTTCTCTCTTACATTTCACTGACTGGACATATTACCCCAACGTTGGTTGTATATCTATTATATATTCTTCACTAAGAAATAAAAGGTGATAATTAATATGGTGTGCTCTTCAGGGATTCTCTTGCATTGTCTGATGAGAGAGTAGATAGGTGACACATAGGACAACTGCAATTTCTGTCATGCCATACTAACAGATCATCTTTTTCTTTCAACTCACTCTCTTCCAAATACTACTGACAACTTGCCCACAGGTGGATTGAAAGTACAAACAGCTAACACCCAATTTCTCTCATGGGCTGCCCAACCAAAAGAGCCAAGTTCAACCTTCAATGCCCACAATTTTATTGCATAAAAAAATGAATACACAATCAAGTATAGAACTCTTTTCATTGTGACTTATATATATATATATATATATATATATGTAAAATTTCTCAGGGTTAACCTGTAGAAAAAGACAATGTTTATAATGGTAAAAGACAATAGGAATATTGTATTAGCCAATGTGTTTCATCCAATGTGGACTTTTTCAAGGCAAAAACAAAATGAATTTATTAAAAACAAAGTAACTATTAACAGCAAAACATCTTGTTTTAATAGTTACTTTCCTTTAATAAATTAATTTTGTTTTTGCCTTGAAAAAGTCTCCATTGGAGAAATGCTTTGGCTACCATTACAGTTTTCCTATTGTCTTTCACCTTACTAAGTGTGTGTGTGTATGTATATATATATATATATATATATATATATATATATATATATATATATATATATATAAAGTGAACATTGAAGTCAACACTTAGAGGTGACAGGCTGTTTCATGCTAGACGCAATCGTCAGGCCACCTGACAATTCTGTCTAGCATGAAACAGCCTGTTGACTTCAATGTTCACTTTTATATTAACACATGCTCTATCTCTGATATTGAGCACTTTATCCCATAAATATAGCACACCTTACAGCTAATATATATATATATATATATATATATATATTAGTCAAATTAAAAAACTGACAACATTAAGGGTCCATAGATTACATGTTATTTCTCCAGGAATGGGATTTTTTTTCTGGTTCCTCAGATCACATTTTCAAGCATAAAAGAAAATGGTTTAAAAATTTACATATTATTTTTATACAAGTTTTTGAGAGGTAGTTTTAGGTTGATGTAAGGTGATAGAGAGAGGGGGGAGGAGATAGAAATTAGAATTACAAGATATGTTATATGAAATTGAAATTACATTGACTTAAACAGGCCACCTCAAAAACTTGTATGAAAAATAATATGTAAATGTTTTAAACCATTTTCTCTTTTATGCTTGGAAATGTGATCTGAGAAATATATATATAAAAAAATCCCATTCCTGGGGAAATAAAATATAATCTATGGACCCTTAATGTTGTCTGTTTTTAATTTAGGTGTTTTTTAATATTTGCGATGAAAGATATCTCAAATTAGAATTTTACTTAAAATTGAGTTCTCTTGAAATTGATCTGAGAAACAGGGAAAAATCCTCCTGGGGATTATCCATACAGATTACCAAATATTTCTGTTTTTACATTGACCTGGATTACATCCTCCTTATTATATATATATATATATATATATATATATATATATATATATATATAGCTGAATTACCCATGCCTTGCTGCGTGTCTCACATCTTTTTTGTAAGGAAATGACAATTGATTTTAAATCACTGTTATAATTTGTGGAGAAAAATGATGTATTTCAATATTACTCAATGATCTTGCTGATGTGACCTCCATCTTCTGGCTTTCTTCTTCTATATTTTGGATAGGAGTCATTCACTTGGTCAAATTTAAATTTAATTTAAATCAATGAGGAAAAAAATTTTCAGTGGCAGTTTTGTGCCAAAATTGTTTGATATGACCCCTTCGATATGTATTTGATGCAATACTTGATTGAATTGATGAGCAAATTTGAACATTGATATGACAGTTGAATTGTTGCAACAAATATGTGTTGTAAGGCTATACCCTCTGATTGGTGATTTGTTGCTCAACTTGATGTCCATATTGTTTCATTTTGATCTTGCTGATGTGACGTCCATCTTCTGGCTTTCTCCTTCTATATTTTGAATAGGAGTCATTCCCTTGTTCAAATTTAAATTTAATTTAAACCAAAGGGAAAAATTTTCTGTGTGTGTTATCAAAATATACTTATCTAAGTACCACAGATAATGTAATTTCAGAATATATATATATATATATATATATGGTTATTGGGGGGTCTCCTCCAAAACTCTAAGAGGAGTTTTATAACAAATAGATGGACAGTCTATAACTAATTATATATATATATATATATATATATATATATATATATATATATATATATATATATATATAAATCTGCAAGAGGAACTTTCCAACTTTTTGGCTAATTGGTACTTGTTTCATAAGGTTTTCATTTATTTATCTATTGTTTTTTTCCTCTTTTGGTCAAGTGAGTGGTCATTTTGAAGATCCTACTTCATAGAATTTACTGCTAGTCATAAAAAAACACAAGATATTTAAAACTCAGGTAAACTAATTTACTATCCATTTCTATATGTATATCCTGATCATTCATGTAGTGGATCCAACATGTCGTAATACTAAGAAATCTGTTTTGATTAGTTATATTCTTAAAAAAAGTTCAAAATAAGACTATTGGAGATCATGTATTTAAGGATTTGTGTGAAATCACAAGTAACTGATGCTAGGATTGAAACCTTCACTTTTAAATATCATAATATATTCTCTGATGTTATGATTGATTTTTTTTATTGTTCATCAACCTTTTTCAAGTTATTCAAAGCCAGAAAATATTTTTAGATTTGTAAGAATTTTTTGGTAATAAAAATGATTTACTGATAAGTCATACTAATTAACCCATTGAGACTAATCAGTACCTAAATGGATGACTGCTTGGAAATACTAGGTGAAGGAAGTATCCTGGACAATGGCTTGGAATTGGAAATTGGAGAACTGTGTTCAAATTTCAGTCAAATTCATTATATTCACTTATGTGTACAAATACCCTTGGGAACAGTATGAATCTACTACTTCTCTCTCCAGCTATGGGTTAATTAGTAAGATTTGTATTACTAAACCATTATCATCTAAAAAAAAAAATTACAGTCTTTAAATAACCAGCAATGGGTTGATCAGCCATAGAAAACAAATCAATTTACCCATATCTGTGAAGAGGGAGAGGAGGTGGATTTATTTTGTTCCCAAGGTTATTTGTATATAAGTGAATATAATGAACCAAACCAGAATAAGAATTTCCAATTCTGAGTTGTTATACCTTATGCTACCACCTGTACATCAAAGCTTACAGCACCTTGTATTCCCAAGTCATCACCCATCTAGCTACTGACCAGGCTTGATGTTGCTTAACTTTGGTGATCATATGAGAACTGCTGTTTCAATGTGATGTAGCCATAATCCCTGAAGTTATGGTTAAAAATAAGTCAAGTATTTGCAATATAAAATAAGATAAAAAAAAAAAAAAGCCATTCTTCCTAGACGTCAGTCTTGTGCTTTGAAATGTGTAAGACTAATGTGTTACGGTTATTTAAGTTTAACTTAGTCTGGCAGAAGCTAAGTGTGGAGTAGAAGTAATGGCCTACTCAATTAGCTCATTAGCCATTACTCTACAATGAGAGATCCATACGTAAGTGGTATAAACATAAAGTTGAGGTTGTTAGTCTGATAAAGAAAAACTAGTAACAATGATACCTCTGCTCTGTGATGAAAAATATATACAAAGAACTTGCTTTTTGCCTCCTAAAGCTAAAGTTTCATATGATGATTGGGGTATGTTGGAAGCGTTGTACACATGTGTATATGTTGGCAACAAACATGTTTAATTTGATAACCTGCAATCTGGGTGTGTCTATATTGGATTCTCTTTCAAACAGTCTTGTGTTAGTGCCATTAGGGACCCCATATTTCTATTAGAGCCAAATCGCTCTTGATATATATGATTGCTTGCCTCCCACCTTCTTACTGGCTTCTAACTGATCTTTTGAGTTGCCTGATGAATGGTTATTGTCTGATGGTGCAATCTTACCCACATCCGCCTGGGTAGTTATCTTTTAAAAAAGAAAGGAAAAAAAAAAAAATGGCTTGGAATCCTGTTTAGCTCAAAGAGTTTTTGATTTGTGATTGGTTCTTGGTTTCAAACGGAACTTTTTCTGGTTTTAGCATTTATTTTTTTATTTTTTATGCAAAGCCTTGGTTTCAGGTTTCTTTCTTATTTTTTTTGCTTGTTTGTGTGTGTGTGGTGGGGGGAGTTTTTACTAGATTCAATTTCGGACTTATTTACAAACACTCCATTGTTACCATTTTTAGCTTAGGTAAAGTAGTAGATTTGTTCCAAACGCCTGGTTGTTTTTGTTGCTGAGTTTTGTAACCATTATGGTTACTGTAAATATCCGTATACCAAGAGGTGGTTGTTCGCAATTACATACCACCCTGTCCCACAATATGATGTTGGGCCATGGGTAACTTGGAGCATTGGTCAGCTACAGAAAATATCTACAGAGATTTCGATACATGAAGAAGTGATAGACACCCCCTTCAGAGCTAATAAGTAGGTGGCTTAATATTTGGCACAGGATGGCAAACAGCAATTGATGTGTCAAAGATTGTGCATCTGTGTCTGTGTTTCCAAAAAAAAAAAAAAAAATGGAAAAACAGTATTTAATTTGATAGCCTACTATCTGAGTGTTATCATAATCAGAAACATTTATATGTGATTAAGAAGACTGAAAATTAAAAAAAAAAATGTTGTTTAGCACTACATGACCATTATATAGGAATCAATGTGTCATAAAATTTCTGAATCAGAAACTTGGAGATATGATTAAAGATTATGAGAATTTACTTTAAAATTCTTGTTTGCCGCTACATGACCATTATGTAGGAGTCAGTGTGCCATAAAACCGCATTCAGAATCTGAACCTTGGAGATATGAGAATCTATTTGAAAATCCTTCTTTGACACTACATAACAATTATATAGGAATCGGTATACCATAAGACCGTATTCTTAGTCAAAATGTCCAGTTTACGCTCCTTCCACATCTCTTGAACAGGACTAGAGGTTGAAAGTTATTTCAAAGATTCACTACTATTTAATACCTTATAGAATAAATAAATAAATGCTTGTAAAATACTTTATTATATGAGAGGTGAAGGCCACTAAGAAAAAAAAAATATCTAAGTTGTAGTTGATGTTTTAGCTTTATATAAATGTACAGTGGAAAATGTCATATTGTCATTTCTGACCTTAGGTCTTTTGTTGGAACCCGGACGAAAATAAATATACAAAAGAAGAGAATAAATTAAGTAATTAAGTGTATTTTAGTAGAAATTTGTTTTTACTTATCACCTGGTTCACACTGCTTCCCCAATTTTTGATCACTAGTGGAAATTTATCCCATGTTTCCTGTTTAGGATTGGGTTTCCAGTCCATTCTCCTAAAGTCTTCTTATTCTTTTTCATTCTCAGTAACCTCTGCGTCTTAGTGGCTTTATTGCCTTGTTTGTTATGAAATGATTAAAAAATCCTTAGACATTGGATTAAAGATTGAGAATCTATTTCAAAATCCTTGTTTGGCACATTATGACCTTTATATAGGAATCAATGTGCCATAAATCTACATTCAGAATCAGAACATTTGAGATTGAGATGGGAATAAAGACTGAGGACCTATATAAAAATCTTCAGCATTATTTCTTCAGTGTGCTACGTCCCTTCAAGATGTGAACGATCATAGTTCTCTACATCTTTGGCCACTGTAAGCAAAATGTTTCACCCCTTGTTATCTCTTCCAGCCCATATTCTGCTACCCATTTATAGAAGCTTGTTAGGTAGCCTACACTGCCACTTCAGTATGTCCTGTGAGTGTCAAATTGTACAAACCATCTTTCCTTACTATGTGTCCCAGAAATTTCAGCGGTCTGTTTTTAATCCTAAGCACAAGTGTTTTTTTCATTCCCGTTTTCCTTAAAACTTCCTCATTGAATATATGTGCCATCCATGGTATTCTCAGGATTATTCTGCAGAAACACATCTCTGTTGTTTCAACTCTTCATCTTTGGGGAAATTGTCCAGCATTCACTGTTATATAGGAAGATTGATATTACATAGTAGTGTGACAATTTGTTTCTGCATATCACTGCACAAGCTGGCTGTATGCATATACACCTGGCTCACTATATTTACAGGTTTATCTCGTCTCACTGGCCATGACAGAATTCAATAAAGAATAATGACAAATGCTTTTCAAGACACTGGTTGGGAAATAGCAAACAATAAGATTTTTCACTTAAATGCCAATGTCTTCCTTTGTCTTTGAGAATGTGAACTCTGGCTATCTTACTAACTTCTGACCACAGAAAAACAAACAAAAAAACCCTTACACTCACTGCCTGTCTCAGTGATGCTGACTTACTGCTGGTCTTTTCCTCACTGACTGACTGCTTCATTCACCACTCATTATATGGATATTGGCTGGAGGAACCCACCACTATTGTCCATCCACTTGTGTTCTGGAAAAGGGGGCTACTCATTCAGATTTTGGGTGAGCAGTTTTTCAAAGGACTCTACTTTTATGATTATCTAAATTCACTAACAAAACTTTGTTTGCTAATTCAAAGTGTGCTGGAGACAGGTTTTCTGAAAAATCTTGGTCATTAAAATGACTCAAAGATGGGCTGGAGACAAGATTCCTAAGAAACCATGATAATTAAATTGACTTCTTTTGACAAGAACATGTTTAATCTGTAGAGGTAAAAAAAATATAGTTAATGATATTTCCTATGTGTCCAGACCTTACAGACACTATATATATATATATATATATATATATATATATATATACACGCACACTTGACTCTCCCCTTGAATTTGAGGTATGAGGTTCAAGCAGATCGGTTCCTAGGAAACTGACACCTCGACACACATGAGATTTGATTATAGTGGTGAAGGTTTTGTGCAGAACCATCCACACTTTTTGAAGGGGCAAATACAGAGACCTGGTGTTCTACGTGCCACAAGATCCCCAGACGGTCATCTGCAGGTTTTGAATTCAGAGTTGTCCTTCTCCTAGATCAGTTGCCATCCAAGGCTATAGAACTCGGTCTGTCCTGCTATTTAGGCATAGCTGGAGGGAGAAGAGGATTCATCCCTTTCCCAATGGTATTAGCACATAAGTGAATGTAATGGATTTGACTGGAATTTGAACTCTGCTCGCCAAATCGCTATCCATTACTCTACTGTGTCTCATATATATATAAAAAGGTGTATTTTGGCAGCAAGAATTCTTTCAGATGTTTGGTTGAATAACATTGAAAAGTTCTATCCAATTTTTAATTTTTTTCAAATTCACGAATTTGTTGTTTTATGTTGTTAGTAAATTTATTAAAGTTAATATTGATTTTTATTTTATTCCTCCCCAGTGCTTTTGAATGTTGCTACATTTGTTTTCAAGGATTGCATATAGTTATTGGTTAATTCTTTTGTTCTAATGTTTGCTGAACCCAATTTCAAGTCATGCAAGGTGATGTAACAGTATTTTATTTTTGGATGTTTTTATTTCTCTTTCTATAAGAGAACATTGAAATTTTGCCGTGTTAAGTGTCCTTGTTTGCTGCAGGATCATGTAATTTAAATAAGGTACATTTTGGCAGCAACAATTCTTTCAAACAACAAAAAAATATGACATTTGGTAAATTTACCAATTACATAAAACAACAAATTCAGAAATTTGAAAAAGTTAATAAAAAAAAACTGCTTAGACAGAACTTGTTGCTATTATTCAACAAAGCATTTTGAAAAAAAACTAAAAAAAAAACAAAAAACAATGCCTATGTATATGAAAATAATTGTCGGTTGAAAAATGTAGGAAATCCAATCCAATATATAAACGAACAGACACACACACACACAACCTGGGTTTTATAATAAGTATGATACTTGAACTCATTGAAGTTTACCAACTATTGCTTTAAAATACTATTTCTGTTTCAAATTTATTGATTCAATTGAAAACAAAAAAACAAAATAAATACTACTTCTTTGAAGTGCCATGTCCCTTCAGGACATAGGTGATCATAGCTCTCTACTTACCCCCTATCCCTTATAGTTCTTGATATGCTTTGTCCTTCTGCTCTACTGTGATGCTCTCTACTTCCCCTCATCCCTTATAGTTCTTGGATAGCTCTCTACTTCCCCCATCCCTTATAGTTCTTGATATGCTTTGTCCTTCTGCTACTTCTGTGATCATAGCTCTCTACTTCCCCCTATCCCTTATAGTTCTTGATATGCTTTGTCCTTCTGCTACTTCTGTGATCATAGCTCTCTACTTCCCCCCTATCCCTTATAGTTCTTGATATGCTTTGTCCTTCTGCTACTTCTGTGATCATAGCTCTCT